GCTTGTCTTTGTTGATCTAAAGTAACCGAAAGCCTTAATCACCCAATAGCTAAATCTAACATGCCTCTTCCACGAGGATAAAGTAGTCCTAAAAGGCCTTAGCGGCAGTTCCTCTTTGGGGAGAATATCTGACGGGGCTAAGTTAATCAGAAGGTTTAAATGGATAACTCAAGTAATAGTAGGTTATAGGTACAGCATCTAGTGTAGAAACTAGTAATAGGTAGATACTTAATTAGACGTTCAAAAGGCGCAGATATGGCTAAAATGTACTCTTGTTAATATAACAAAGTCAGAAGTGGTCCTGTGGCTGCTCTGACATTCACAACCAAAGTTAATAAAATATGCCAGACCCCTAAGTGGTCACCTTAATATAAAAAAAAAAAATTCTAGAAGTAAAACTATCTAATATAAACTTATATTATTAAATTACATCCTTTTGCAAAGATATGTTAACACATCTTTACATTAAGACATAACTCAATAATATATACTTTTCTAAATCTATATTGTTCATCAATATTTAACTTTGGATACAATTATTGCAAAATCATTTAACTTTATTATAAAACACTTTATTGTATTGATATTAATTATATGTTATTTATAATTTTAGATATCTGGTTTGTTACAAGTATTTTTAAGGGTTAAATTATTATATATATAATGAATTACTTAAAATATTAGCAAATGTGTAGTAGACAAGTATAAAAACCTTGTATATAAGGTTTTCACATATTAATAGTAGTGGAGAAAATAGAAAATATTTAGATTGAGCTATACTATTTGAGGCTTCAGAAGTTTAATCAAATCTTAATTATTGATTAAACAATATTTTTTAAATAAACGTTTTACTTATAGTAAATTTTTTTTTATTATATACAATTAATTATAATTCCAATACTATTTCAAGTACCAATCTTATATCAAAGTAAATAAACTTCAATTTTGAATTTAAAAAATTGTTTCTTAAGCTTCATAATAGCACAGACTGATCTAAATTTAATTACTAAAATTTAGATTATAATTACAGTTACATCTCAATATAGTACTCTTGATATAGTCACATATTTGATATAGTCATATAATTTTTTTACACTAAATTTATATCATTTTAATCTGAATATAATTACAAATACACTATAGTCACTATCAAATAAATTTTAAATCTAATCTTATCAAAGGTCTCTCAATATAGTCACAAAAATAATTCAATAAGTTAAAAATTGTGAAATGAGTTAAATGAACTGGAAATATAAAATATATCAAATAAATAATTATAGTTTTAAAAGTTATAAATTGGCTATTGATCAAATTTGTGAACTGTAATTTACTTTATACACTTATCCAAATTTAAATACCTTTTGCTATTTCAAGAAAGCCACAGAAGTTAAAGCCTCTAGCTATATGAAAGATCATGAATTATATATAAGCATAAGTCCATAAAAAAATCTGAATGCTGACCAAATTTGCAGATTCTATAAATACAAAATAAAAAATTAACTCTGCATGGCCTTAAATTTCTATTGCATAAATAATATTACACAAAGTTAATTTTTACTTACTAACTCAAAATTTTAAAAACTCTTATAATTTAAACAAAAATAGCGATATTTATTTTAGAAAAAATATGTTTGTTGCTGACAGTGACATTTACTAGAGTATGATAAGTTATAATCAAAATAAAATAATACATCAAAACTTACTATTATTAGGGTAGATTAAAGCCATAATTAAGTTTTAAATAGGGTATAGTATATAGTAAAATTTTGCAAGAAACTTTTTTGTTAGAATGCAAAAAATGGTTTCATGGATGGGATTTCGAGATAATAGTGATTTTTTTAAAAAAATCTATTTTTCACTATTATATATGATCCTGTGATCTAATTGGTCAATAACACTCCAGGACTGTCACTGCTGGCAACAAATAGATTTGCTCTTTATTTTAATCATTTTATATTTAATTCAAAAAATTAATACTTATTCAATCAAAATATAAGAACATTCAATGTTAATCCAGAAAATAGAGTAATATTGGAATATTTTGGGATAGTACTCTTTATGAAATCTAATTGGTTAAATAAATGTGTAAAATTTTTAATTCCACATATTATAATCTGATGATATTGAAATTTGAACATATTTGTTTAGAGATAAGTTAGGAATTAGGGTTAAAGTTCATAATAAAAAGGTATATAGTGATACCACAGCAAAAGCAGAGGATGAGACTATATAATATATAGTCCCATTCTCTGCTTTTGGTATAGCAACCACATATGTAGATTTTGTAGTGTTTAGATTTTCAAATCAAAACACTAAATTACAGCATCATTTGTCTAAGTATATTGTCATTTATATCAATCCATTCATATTGTTAACTGTTTTAAACAAAGAAGTTCTAATTTTTATAACGTTAACACTAAAATCAGTATTTATATTAAAATCTAATGGCGCAATTTTGGTGTAGTCATGTTTATGTGAAATTGAATTAGGCCATCCTTATAAAAAACTCATTATTTAAAATTTGTATAATGTTATACAAAATGTGCGAAAAATGTCTAAAAAGCACTGTTCTGCCTAATTTTTGGTTTATTCAAATAAAATAAAATTAAACAAAATTTAGACATAATAGTACATTTTTTAGATATTTCACACATCTAACATATATCTATAAATTTATAAATCCTTTTTTGTAGAACAGCAATAATATATAATAATGCCTGATATGCACTTTCAGTGTCTGAAATTGGATTGCGAAGCTTGCAGACTGCATATGATTTATATGTTTCTGCAACTAAAATCTGAAATATATATGCTGGTTCCGCAAATAAATTTTGTGAATTTGTATATAGATATGTTCCAATTTTGAGTTTGTATATAAATTCATTCATGTGCGCAACTAAATCTATATAATCCGCAGTAAAGTTGTTTACTTAGTTGCAGCCTGCATTTAAATTAAAATTAAATCTCAGACACTGTGTACTACAGTTGCCGAAAAAGAATATATACCAAATTTTTTCTTACTTAAGAATTATTAAATTATTTGTTAATTTATTTAAATGAATGAGAATATAGATTGGTAACATCTGTGCTTTATGATAGATCAGTAATATCTATGGCCTAGGATTGTATCTTCTAAAAAAGTAAAGTAATTGCTTGCTTTAGATAGGTGTAAAAGTGCTATAAATAGCAAGATTATCAAAATATTATCATGACCATCCACAGAGAATATACGGTGCTGGCAATTATTTTCAGATCTTTTTCTGAATACTATCAGTTATACCACTTTAAAAAAAATCGATAATCAAAGCAAATGAGCTATTTATAATTATCTTTTCTAATTGGCAGTTTATAAATTTAGCGTAAATACCATATATAAATAATTTTTTTTAATGTTATATACAATTGGGTCTACATCAGGAATAGTAAATGATCTTTAAATGACCTTCAAATGACCTCAAATGACCTCAATGACCCCAATTTTATTATAAATTTTAGTCTGAAATAATCTAGATCATTTGAAAAAAAGGCAAATGAACTCTAATTTTATCATCCCTGGTCTATATATAGTTATTGGATACAAAGCAGCTAATAACAGAATTATTTGCATCCAATAATAGTTTTATCCAGTGGCTTATGATGACTAAATCAACAGAATAATTAGAGTTTTTTTGGTGATAATTGCATCATTATCAAATAATTTCATTATTTAATGATGCAATCACCATCAAAAAAACTCAAATTATTCTGTTAGTATGATCATAGTAAGCTGCTAGTTAAATATATAAATCCTGGATCTATTTAAGGAATGTCTTTTCTAGTTTTATATTTATTAATATTCTCATTTATGGCTAATTTTTATTAATTGTAATTTGTATTATTTTTGGGTTTTGAAAGCCTATCATTAATGCACACTAATTTTAAATTTTGAAATGGATTAATACACAGATATTAAAGCTACAAGTTATTCTTATATCTGGTAAGCTGTCGATAGGTCTAAATCCAACATAGTGTTGGGTAGAAACTGCGACGCGGTCCTCTGCCAATCAAAGTCTTGCATAATTAATGATAGGTAACCTTATGGAAGAGGCATGTTAGATTTAGCTATTGGGTGATTAAGGCTTTCGGTTACTTTAGATCAACAAAGACAAGCAGAGTCAGTCACGTGAGCAAGAATTTGAGTGAATGACGATGTCTCTGGTGTTTATAGGGTTTATAATTGGGATAACAATGGTGTAGTTTTGTGCGGTTTATAGAATTGGGACTTATTATTTAATAAAGCAAACGAGACCTGCCTCTCTTAAGGGCCTTTTCAGCCTTTATTTATAATACTTCTTTGCACTGCTTACAAATGCCATAATATATTTAATATTTAATATAACTATCTATATTTATTATCTTTAAGAATCCTTAATTTCTATTATATCCCCCATTAACCTCTCATATGCCCCTCTATATCCGAAATGCAACTCACGATCTGAAATGTAATTAATTGCATTTCATGCATTTTTCACATAATCGTCCCGATCTATACATCACATTTTCCGGGTTTCATATTTCCCTCCTGCTTAAATCATATGTTCCACACATGACCTTCTTCAGTAAGCTGTTGAAGTTCACTTAATTTCAATTTTTGTAGGTCTGCAAATTCTAACTTGGTGGTTCTATAGATCTGTTCTATTCCATACTTCACAAACACGTCATAGGTGCGGAGGGCGGATGTGTAGTAATGTCGTTTAACCATATCACAAAACTGACTTTGCTGTTGCCGAGTTCTGTTAGCATATAACATACCCAAGCAATATCCATGCACTAAGGAGTTTATACGTTGTCTTAGTCTCAAGCTTCTCTGTAGGTGATTCATTGTTAGAGTTATACTGCTAGAATAATCATAGGTCGTAGTAAAGGGCAGGGTGCAGGATTAACGTTGAGGGGAAATGGGTTGGTACGTCATCCATGATCTCAGCTAACATGATCGGATTTCTAACCATTTTTCTATATAAATGAAAATTTTTTCAGATCTAAAAAATTTTTACTTTTTACCCAAATTTTCTACACTCCTTTTATTTCCTTGCATTTTGATCGAGATTGATTATTTTTTTGCTATAGCTTTCGTCCTTTTGGCAATTCTTTTCATCCTTTCACCTTTTTCTTGCTATTATTATTTTATTATTGTATATATATAATATATACTTATATATTTTTCTTCTAGTTCAGTGATCCTAGTACTCCTTCAGCAGTATAAAGTTGAATGGTGTGTCCAGAACCTTCACTTCTATGGTCTGTAATTTATACACATCCTTATTTAGTATTTAATGGATATAAAATGGGCCATCCCATTTCGGTTCTAGCTTCACGCTTTTGCTATATTTTTTTGATGCACGGTATAATAGGACTTTATTACCAATAGACAAATTGGGCGGTAAACGGGCGTTTCGGTCGTATCATTTCTTTTGTTTTTGTTGAGCTTGTTGTGTCCTTTGCACAGCCTCATGACGTGTTATTGGCAAATCTTCTAATAATTGAAACTTCAAGTAGATCATCTGAATCGATTAGTTGTCAGGCTTCCATGCCATACATCAAGTAAAACGGGGTATTTTTGGTAGTTGCATGTCTGGAGGTATGGTATGCAAACAGTACTGCAGGTATGATCAGGTTCCAGTCACTAATGTCATTTATTGCTCTTGCGATAGATTCACACAAGGTCTTATTATACCTTTCAACCAACCCGTTGGTCTGGGGATGGTACGGTGTTGCTAATAGGTGTTTGATTTGAAACTTTTCTAGCAACTTATCAACCAGTTTATTTCTAAAGTGGGTACTATGGTCTGATAGTAATTTCTTAGGGCACCTGTGTCTATATATGATATTCTCGAAGATAAAGTCGGCTACACTTTGGGTGTCAGCAGTCGAAATTACTCTGGCTTCTGGCCATTTTGTCATATAGTCGGTTGCTACGATGATGTAATATGAGTCTCGGGGCGTAATCGGGAGCGGATCAACAATATCTATTTCCACTTTATAGAAAGATGCTATTACTGGTATTGGTTGTAAAGGTCCTGCATATTTATTTTTCCCACTCTTTTGGCAATTTTCGCACGATTGAACATATCTTCTAATGTATTCAAATGCTTGTGGCCAATAATATGTCTTGCAAATTTTTTAAACATCATTTTAGCCCCAAAGTGTCACCCAAGTGGGTGATCATGCATTAATAAGAGAATTGGATCGATCTCGTGTTTCTGAACTACTTTTAAAGGTTGGTCTTGATTCTTCTTATTTCTCTTATATAATAAACCATTCTTTAAAAAAAATGATCTGCTATGATTAATCAATTGTCTCCTTTGCTTCTTATCTAGGTTGTTTTCTAGGTATCCCTCTTGCAGATATCTCTTCAACCGATTATAGTCTCCTTCTTCCATTTTGAACTTTTTTTTTTTTTTTTTTTTTTGCCAGGACACTGACCACCTGGGCTGGATTGAATTTATTGTCAGATTTTATGACTTCCGGTATTATATTTGTTTATTTATTTTATTATACTAATTATTGCTTTTTAGTTCTATTGATCCTAGGTTAATGGGTTTCCAGTCACCCCTTTGGTTGGCAGCTCTATCGGCCTCGATTGCTTGGGTGTTTAGCGGTTGCATATATCCTAGGTCAATTCCTGTATCATGTAAGTATTCTCTTCTAATTTATTTTTGTTTGGCCCCAGCAGTCACCCAATCCCTTAGCATTAACAAATTTTTGGGTTCCGATGCTACTAGGTTAAATCCATGATATTTTATTAGGTAGACTGCTTTTCTACGATCCAATGATTCCAGTACAAGATGTTTAAAGTTGGTTGGGTGATGATATACTTGATAGGTATTGCCATAAGATTTACTCAGGCCCACGTATTCTAAACTCCTCCGATATGCTGTCCCCAACTTGTCGTATGAGATCACAGAGGTTGGTCGAATACTTAGTTCAAATATCTCTTCTTTAAACTCAGGTGAGTCGGCTTCCTTCTTATACACTCGATTTTCATCCTCTTCTAATTTTTGCCCACTTCTTCCTCCTACCATCATATATACTTCCACAATTTCCTCTTCTGTTCTGTTTATCCGGGTCAATGCATTCGCATTCAAATGATTACGGCCCGACCTATGCTGGATTGTATAGTTGTATAGTTGCAAACGGAGTATCCAACGGGCCCTTCTTCTCTTCAACTTCATACTATGCAACCACTTTAGTGCCGAATGGTTGGTTATGAATGTAAATAGCTTAAAGCCAAAGTAATAGTGGTAGTATTCAACTGCACAAATGACCGCCAGACATTCCAATTCGCATGCTGAGTAATTTCTTTTGACTCTAGATAAACTGCGGCTGGCGTAGGAAATCACAGGTTCCTTCTTGCTTTCACTTTTCTGAGCCAAAATGGCCCCCAACCCAGTGCCAGATGCATCAGTATACAGGTAAAACATGTCATCGAAATTGGGGTACTTAAGAATAGGTGCTGTTGTTAGGTGATTTTTTAACGCCTCAAATGCTTTTTGTTGTTCAAATCCCCAATTAAAACTAACATTTTTTTGCAATGAATGGTGTAAAGGTTTGCTAATGCAGCGAACCTGGGAATGAACCTTCTATAATATGACATGCGGCCAATGAACCCCCTTAACTGGCGTAGTGTACTTGGTATGGGATAATTTCTTACTCTTTTCACCTTACTTTCATCAGGTTGTATCTCTTGTCTTCCAATTATATACCTGAGAAAATGAATGGTGAGTTTAAAGAAGTCGCATTTCTCAATGTTGATTTTCAACCCCGCTTTGGCCAACTTATCAAATACTTTCTTTAGGTGCCCCAAGTGTTCGTTGAACGTTCTAGAATATATATTAATATTGTGATATACACGACCACGAATTCTCCAATATACTCATCCAAGACATGGTTCATTAAATGCTAGAAGGTAGCTGGTGCATTCGACAAGCCAAACGGCATAATATTGAACTCGTAAGCCCACTCCATGTTACAAAGGCTGTCTTCTCTTTGTCCCCCTCTTCAACTTTCACTTGCCAATATTCCTTTTTCAAATCCAAACTAGAGAACCAACTTGCGGTACTAAAGGTTTCCAATAGGTCGTCTATCCTTGGCAGTGGCTATGCGTCCTTTCTAGTTACCTCATTCAATTTCTTATAATCTATACAGAGGCACAGTTTTCCTCTTTCTTTGGGACCACGACTACAGGAGAAGCCCACAGGCTACTGGACTTCCAAATTAAGCCTCTGTCTTCCATCTCTTTTAGTTTCTTTTCTATAAACTCATGTTTGTTCGGCGCCGCTCTGTAGGCTCTTTGCTTTATTGGTTTGGCCATGCCAGTATCAATTCGGTGACTTATTAGGTGGTTTCCCCAAGTCTCTGCATAGTATTGGTAAACAAGCCTCTCTCTTTTTGAAAGAATTTTTCTGCCTTTTCTTTCGCTTCTCTGTCCAGGACGTCGTTTTGGAGGAACTTTTTTATTTGCTCTTCTACCGTGGGTTCTGCTTCGTATTTTCCTGTGTCGGCACTTCTTCTGTATTCGTCAAGTATATAGCCGGACTTGTTATTTTTTTCTCAGGAGTTATAAAACAGCTCATTGTCTCTTTCACTGGTTTCTTCCTAATAATATCCTTTCACTTCAACTAACTCTTCATCTTCATAGGTATACTCGCCAAACTCATCCCCGCTGTTGCTATCGATCTGATCCCTTTCTTCCTGCACTTCCAATTTTTTTGTTCTACTATTAGAAATGGGTACCTCAATTTTTCTGCCGTCGTGCTTGAGGAGCAATCTTTATTCATCAAAGTGAATCCTTGCCTGTGCTCTATGGAACCAATCATTACCTAGCAGCAACATCTCATCAGCAGATTCAATTACTTGGAAGGTGCTAGGTAGGAGTATATCTTGGATGGCTATCTTTACATCTTCAATTTGGCCTACCGCACGTGTCCTGGTCCCGTTAGCTGTAATTATCACCGTTGATGATGGTTTGTTTATTTTCAACTTCAATTTGTTCATAAGTTTCTTAGTGATTATGCTTACTGCCGCGCCTGAGTCCAGCACAGCTCGTATAGGGTTCCTTTTAATCCAGATATAACAATAGGCAGTAGTGGGTCGGGGATTATCACTAAAGTTTACCACATGAGTCTCTTGGGGCTCTTGGGTCATTTGGGCTTCTTGGAGTTCTCGCACTACAAGGGGTCAGCGTAGAATTTGGGCTAGGTTCCTTCTTTGGTTCGGGTATTGCAGCATCTGGCCCACTGTGGCTTTAATGGGTAAGAATAGAATATCATTTATCACATTGTATAGGGTTAATTTATCTATCACCAAAGGCTCCCGTTTTCGTCTTATTTTCCTGACTGGTCGTGATTCTTCTAACTCCATAGGTTGGAATAAGTCTCCAACGTCTACTAAAAGTGGTTCATTTTATGCCTGGTGTCGAAGTCTATTATCCCACTTTGATTCTGTTGTACTCTAGATCTTTTTTCGGGGATGTCCGTTGTACTTGTTGCTTCCTTTTATCAGCCACAAATAGTTCATTTTCGCAATAGTTTATTCTACTAACATTTTCTGTTTGTGTTCTTTCTGCTTCACTGGACACTTTAGATGTCTTTTCTGACATACAGTATCTGGCAATGTGTCCTTTCTCACCACACCTATAACAAACAATTTCCTTTCTGGGCTTGTAGTTCTCCCTATACTTTCTTTTTCATGCGTATCCTTTTTCTGTTGGTTATTTGTTGCGATCTAATTGACTGATAGTTGTTGTACTTGTTTGACTAATGCCTCAATTATTTTGTCCTTCTTATCAGGGTTTACTGAAGTTTCCTGTGTGTGGGCGCCATAATACTCGCCTGCTTCCACCCTTCTAGCT